AAATAGTTATAAATGATAAAAAGAAGGCTTAGAAAGATCGGTATCAGTGATCAGTATCGTCAGATACTGCTTTCTGTGATCGGCCTCAAAAATCCTGATGGGAGCACCCCTAATACAAATAGTTGAGTTTGCCAGGTGCATACAACATTTATGACAGGTTTTCATGAAAGTGTTGGTCAGTTTGTCTGCTTGACAATCGCATTTTGCACTGCAGCAATAAAATTGAAGTGAGATAAACAAACTGAGAAATGTTTCTTTTTAGGTGCCGAAGTTTTCCTTTGGGGACATAATTTGAAGCTGGAAAAAGGTAATAAATTGCAATATATCGCAATATATTTAAAATCGCAATAATATTGTATTGTGACACAAGTACCGTGATAATATCGTATCGTGAGGCCTCTGGTGATTCCCACCCCTAGGATTTACTGTAGTAACACTCACTGCGCCATGGTATTGTAGTAGAAATGTGAAATATTCACACTGAATTTTATTACAGGAGTAATGGTATATAATTATAGTTTGTATTTGTGATTAAGCTATAGCATGTGTGCATTTATACTGAATGTTTTTAGACTACTGTTTTTCATACAAACAGGCTACCTAAAAACCATATAATTATATTTTTACCATGGTATTGAGGTGCTATAGGCTATGTGTGGTTTTTACTGTATTTATCATGATTTAAATGTATGCTACTGTGGGAGACCAATGTTTAATAAAAAATAAAAAAAAACTCGGTCAGAATAAATTTAACCATATAAAACTGAGGTTGCTACAATTTTTACAGATGTTACTGATTTTGATAATGAACAAATTTACCTCTGCATCGTAACTCAAGCTGCTATCAAATGTGCATTTCTAAAAGACAAAAAAGTAATATTATTATTATTAATATTATCAGGCAACCCAAACCTGTTTCTTGATTTGAAACAATATCACTCATTAGAACATGCAGAAACTAAGAAAATATATATTTTTTTATTTAGATATTTATTTTGTTAAGGAAAATTAATTCGTTTCAACTTTCACTTTGGAGCAACAATCTGGCTTTAAACTTGATACATCCCTAATATATATATTAGGGATATATTATATACTATAATATATATATATTATATATATATTACTGAACCCGAACTTTGAACTGAAATACTTGTTTCTTAGAGAAAAAAAAAATTAAAAAGAGAAAAAGAAAGAAATACTAAATTTGTTCTGAGCTACACCCTCGTTTTTACAAATCAGAACTCAAAAACAAGCATCCAGAACATTCACCAACATCAAACGAAGAAAAGTGAGAAATGCCACTGGCATTAGCATGTCATTCCAAAATGTTCTGTTCCTTTTTACCCAAGAAAAAAAGCCAAGCATCCTTTAACATGCATGAATGACAGAAAGCTGTATGAAAATATGACTGAAAAATAAAAACAGCAAAATATGACTGAAATCTGATGAGCAGAAATGACAGGTGATGATGTTTGAAAGCAGATTTTTCAGTAACAATACAATATGCTATTATATGTTACAACCTGTTATCAAATAAATGCTTTAAATCACAAGCAATTTATACCGAAATTTTGTCTCTATAATGTATTTTAAATCAAACATCTTAACATGAGGAACAAAGAGCAACAGCCACCCCCAAATCTGCTCCTAAGTAGCTGTTACACACTCAGGAAGGAAAAAAAGGGAAAACCTCTCCAATCAATATTATCCAAACAAGCTTGAGTCGACTGTTCTGTGCTAGCAACTCTCTGTGCCAAGACTTCCTGCTAAATAACCTAATTGCAATTTCAAACATACTAGTTTAGTTGAGTGTGATATCTGCAACTCAGCAATATCCAACTATCACAAGTCTCTAAATGTAACCCAACCACTAGCTTACTCTCTGCCCAAATGTACAGACTTCTTGTTGCACACAGGGGATTTTCAACAAAGAATCATATGTGCTACGGTGTCACTGGTGTAAGACTAATCATTCCTTGCATTTCATATGCATCCATGGATAAATAGCTGAGATTAACTCAAAAATTATGAGTGTTACAAAACAGCACATCTACTGTAGCTACTGTAATACCAGCCGCTGCTTTGCTGGAGACATGAATGAAGTTTAACTCTTTAAATTGGCCTTTCAGATTAGTCCTGGACTAAATGTCACATTCACAACCTTCAGTTTAAAATACTTTCAATCTGGCCCTGGAGTTTAGCTGGAAAGTGGCTTAAAGCTACATTCAGAAATGTTCATTACCACACATTTGACAGAAGACTTTAAAGGGGTCATATGATGCAATTTAAATTTTTCCTTTCTCTTTGGAGTGTTACAAGCTCTTGGTGCATAAAGTAGATCTGTAAAGTTGCAAAGACTAAAGTCTCAAATCCAAAGAGATATTATTTATAAAAGTTAAGAGTCAGCCACGCCTACCTAAAATGGCTCGTTCTAACACGCCCCCACATGTCTACGTCACTGTGTGGGAAGATTTGCATAACGCCGCCCAAATGTTCACTCAAAGAAAGAAGGCGTAACTTGATCCTGGGAAGGCTGTGCACAAAGGCTGTTTCTAGAAAGTGGGGCAGTTCCAACTTTGCAAGGACAGTCTGGTGCTTCTGACTCACAGTCTGTAAGTACATTTACATATTTAAAGAATTTGCCACTGATGATTCAAACGCGAGTTTTGAGCAGTGTAGAGTAGCGCTTGATGTTTGTCGTTTCTCCGTTCACAAATGCAGACATGGCTTTATGTTTATGCAGCGCGATACACAAGGCAACACCTAAAAAGACAGAAGTCAGTAATTATGTGCCCACTGGATGCAGCAAATGCCTCATTTGTAATGCGTTTTGTTGGTTTTGTCTTGTCGTGCTGGGACTCTGCATCACAGTATGTTAAGTGGCATAACATTTCCGTCACGCGCTAGAGGAATTCATCCAATCACAACGCACTGGATAGCTGGCCAATCAGAGCACACCTCGCTTTTCAGACCGATGAGCTTTGTAAAAATCGACGCGTTT